GGCTGAGGCTTTATGCAGTACAGCTTACTTAATAAACAAGTCTCCTTGAAATACTGTGGAGTTTAAAACTCTACAAAAACTGCGGACTAGAAAACCACCAAGTCTATCACACATTAGAGTCTTTGGATGTGCTGCGTATGCACATCAGATTGAAGGGAAATTAGACCCTAGAGATACCAAGTGTGTTATGCTTGGATACCCTGAAGGAGTTAAAGGGTATAGGTTATGGGTACTAGGTATTGAGGGTATTAAGATCATTAATAGTGGAAATGTAGTGTTTAATGAGTTTGAGATGCCATGCTTGAAGAGTAAAATTGACAAACAAGATCTGATTGAAAAGGATACTTCACAGAATGAGGCACCAAATAACCCTGTAAATGAAACTAGTACCCAAGACTATCAATTGGTAAAAGATAGGGAAATGAGAAAGATTAACCCTAGGTATGAAATAAATAATCTAATAGACTTTGCCCTAATCTCTAGTGAAAACTTAAAACATACTTAATCTTTTTTTATGACGAAGCAATGAACAATTTTAAATCTTAAAATTGGAGAGATGCTATAAGAGAAGAAATGAAGTCTCCACTTGAAAAAAAAGACATGGAAACTTGTAAAGAAACCAAAGTATCAAGATTGGTTCAATGTAAGTGGATCTTTAAACTCAAAGAAGGGGTCTCACTAACTAAACTTTTGAGGTATAAGGCAAGGCTTGTAGCTAAAGGTTTCACTCAAAAAGAAGGAATTGATTATAATGAAATATTTTCCCCTGTAATCAAATATAAAAACTATAAGACTAATGCTTGCTCTAGTTGTTCAATTCAATTGGGAACTTGAATAATTAGATGTCAAAATTGCCTTTCTACATGAGGAATTAGATGAAGAAATTTATATGTGTCAACCTCAAAGTTTTGAGTAAAAAGGAAAATCTAATTTTGTTTGCAAACTGCAAAATCCTTGTATGGACTTAAACAAAGTCCAAGACAGTGGTATATAAAGTTTGGCACATATGTACTGAAATTGGTTTTAGGAGAAGTGAATATGATCATTGCTTATATTACAATAACTCTAGAGTTGGCAATGAGATATATCTACTCCTATATGTAGATGATATGCTGCTGGCCAGCCTAGCAAAGTTGAGATAATGAGACTAAAGAATATCTTAAAATTTGAATTTGACATGAAAAACTTAGGAAATGCCAAGAAAATTCTAGGGATGGTCACAAATAGGAACAAACATGAAGATATGTTAACAATAACACAAGAATCTTACCTGCACAAAGTAATAACAAAATTTGGAATGAAAGAAATTAAGTCTGTTAATGTGCCACTTGCTACTCAGATGAACCTCTCCTCGGCTCAATGTCCTAAAACTAAATCTGAAATCAAAGATATGACAAATATTCCATATGCCAATGCCATAGGACCTGTTATGTTCTCCATGATTACAACTTGACCTAATTTAGCATATTCTATCAATTTCTTAAGTAGGTTCATAGCTAATCCTGGGAAACAAGATTGGGCTAAAGTGGCTATTGAGATATATTGTAGGAACACTAAGGGTAGGATTAGTGTTTAAAAAGGGACTAGAACCATTAACCCTTAAGGGATATGTGGATTCTCACTTTGCCGGAGACAAAGATAAAAGGAAGTCTACCACTGACTTTTTCTTTACACTAGGTGATAATTGTATCACTTGCAAGTGTCAACTTCAATCCATTGTCACTTTATCTAGCGCTGAAGCTTTATATGTGGCGATCACTGAATGTGTAAAAGAATGCATATGGCTGAAAGGAATTTTAAGTGAACTGAATTTTATGAATACACCAACAATTATACTAACTGATGGCTGAAGTGCTTTACTCTTAAGCAAGAACCCCGTCTATCATGAAAGGTCTAAACATATTGAGGTGAAGTACTATTTCATAAGAGAAAAGCTCTCATTAGGTGAAATGGTTCTTGAGAAAATTCATACTGACTTTAACCCTGCTAATATAGACACTAAAATTCTGTATGTTAATAAATTCAGATCTTGTTTGTTATTCCTTAATATTGATACAGGTTAATTTTTCCTTGCATGTACTTGGGCGATGATTGTCACATGCATTATAGAAACTAGAGAATGCATATGGTTTGAGTACCAAGGTGAAGAATTGTGAAGTCTTGTTTCTCAAACCACAACTTTATAAGTGGAAAAACATTTTATACTTTCACTTAGACTGGACAGATAGCATTCCCACATCGGCTAATTATTGGTCACTCGAGTTGTGCTACTTTAGATACACTGTGGACTGTTGATTGTATCTGATGGTTGAGATTTAACCACTCAACCATTATGGTATATAGGGGCTTTTTTGAGTTCCATTGTTCTAAGGGTCTTCAGTCATTGTTTTGGTTCTTGAGTTTTCTCTCTCTAGTGTGTCTGTTCATCCTTTCTGTTCAATCTGCTTTTGATCGTGAGTCTGTAATAATATTTGGTTATCTATTGATGGTAGAACTCTTGAAGCAGTGTTTTAGGCCTAAATATTGGCTGGTAAATCTATATTGAATCGATTGAAAGGATTCTGTAGTCAAGGTTTGGCTAGGGTGGTTGTCTGCGAGATCTTTTTAGATCGATGACCAAATAAGCGTCTAATTTGATTTATTTATTTCGGTTGTACACTCTCTCTCTTGAAGGTTTTTTGCATCATGACTGGTTTACCTCTGAGCCCCCCCTAGATTAGGCCTTTTTTGCTGAATTGGGTAAACAATCTCCTATGTTCGTTTTATTTTCTTGCACTGTGTTTGATAGTTTTACTATTGTTTATGGGTTTTGGGTCAAAATACCCAACAAAACTAAACAAAGTTATTGAAAGGTTTAGTATGGAAGAAAATAGTGAAAATTAGAGAATACTTTGTTTCTTTGCTTTCGGTCCCGATGGCTTTCGAGAATCCTTTTCATATTTCTTTCCAAATTTGCTCCTTGCAAAATTTACGAAGTAATTATTAATAAAAAAAATTAACTAAGTTGTCACGGGACTTGCCTCGTACGATGAGATGTAACAATTTTCCTTAACTAATCATAGTTGTTGAAGTTAAACAAAGTTATTGATAGGTATAGTACGGGAGAAGAAAGTAAAAAAAAATTAGGGAATACGTGGTTCCTTCGCTTTCCATTTCAGTGGCTTTTAAGAATCTTCTTCATATTTCCTCTTAATACGGCTCCCTACTTAATTTTAAAAAAAAAAATTTCTAATTTTCTTTTAAAACTAAGATTGTCATGTGCAAGGACAGATCTAGAATTTGACTAAGTCCTTGTTTGAGCCACATTGTTTTCCTTACAATGAATTTTTGAATAGTGTATTGATGGAAAATATGTGGTTAAAAAATAAAGAAGAGTTTTGAATTTGCGTATAATATTATTTTATTGAATAATGTGTGGTTGAAATGATGTCAAATCACTGTTTAAGAATGTATTTTTTATTAAAAAAAATGTGGCTCAAACATGCCCTAAATAAATTTTAAATTGAGCTAATATATTTTAAAATGTTACTTATTTATTATTTACTTAAAAACTTTTTTTTTTTTTAACCCTAAGAATTAAAATAGGCTTGGAGATTCCGTCCATGGCCACGTAGGCTTCCTAGTAGGATGAGGAGTAACAGTTTTACTTAACATAATTGTTGAAGTTAACAAAGTTATTGAAAGGTTTAGTCCCTGTTTGACATCCTTAAATTTTGAAAAAGATTGTTTTGAATAATATTTTTTGAAAAAATGTGTGGTTAAAGAGTGAAAAAAAAAATTATGAATCTACTTGTAGAATATTTTTATTGCGTGAATGTATTGTTGAAAATGAGCATGAAAAATAAATTAAATTAAAAGATGTCAAAGAGCTTAGTATGGTAGAAAAAATGTAAACATTAGAGCATACTTGGTTCCTCTGCTTTCATTTTGGATGGCTCTTGAGAATCCTTTTCATATTTCTTCCCAAATTGACTCCCTGCTAAATTTACAAAAAAAAATATTTAAAATATTTAACTAAGTTGTCACGTGACTTGCCTCATGAGGTGTGACAAATTTCCTTAACTAATCATAGTTGTTGAAATTAAAAAAGGTTATTGAAAAATTTAGTATGGGAAGGGGGAAAAAAAGTAAAAAGTAAAAATTAGAGAATACTAGGTTCCTCTGCTTTCGATTTCCGTGGCTATTTGAGAATCCTTTTCATATGTACGACTCCAAGCTCAATTTACATTACCCCAAAAAAAATAAAAAATGGAGGAAGATTTCACTTGATTTGTCCTGACATTAATATTATTAACAGCAATTTTATGGTTTAGATGTCGGGACTGGAAACAAAGCAAAACTTGCATCATGGTAAAAACTTGGAAATGCGTGCATGAAAAAGCAATATAATTTTTTTTTAGCTGTGGCTGAAATTTCAAATTTCCTTTGCAATCACATTTATAAATTATAAGAGTACGGATGTAAATGTAAATTGGATCATGATCCAACCACCTAAATCATTATTCTCTTAATATTTGATCAAATAGTTTAGCTGCTTTGCTTGCTTACCTGCATTCTTGTTCAAACTGCCATCTTTTTATTGTATTTCCTTCGCTTCGGAGGATTTCGAATTGAATACTTCCATCCCACCTTTAGCACCACAACAAAACAAAATATTCACGTGCTTTCTGATGAACTTATCTCTGAATATCTATAAAACAAAATTAAGTTCTATATATTTTGCGAGTATAAAAGCAAGCTGTATGCAACTGTATCTATATTAAAGTTTCAGATGTCATGGTCAATAGTGGTGCATTTGATTTCTGCATTTTTTTTTTTTTACTAAACTAGTTGTTAGGTGCAAGTCGTACCAACTTTCGATATGTCATCAAGTATTTGATACGATATCAAACATTATTTAAGACAATATGGACCATAGATTTTCAATAGTATAATTGTGCTTAACACGTGACCCATGTAAAACCAAAAATTGTAAATTTGAGTTGGGGTTCTGTTGAAGTTGGACATTTTGTTTATGTTTGCCTTATCAATTGTCTTCTCCAAGTGATTCTATTTTTATTTAATCACTTTTATCCATGCAACGAGTAAGCAAGACCAACTTGCGCTATAACATTATAAAAGACCGTCCAATTTTGTTCATTTTTCACAAATTTTAATAATTTCACGAAGGTCTTTCTCAAGGCCTTTAAACTAGTGGATGAACAATAACTATAACTTTTGACACAACAAATCCCAACATTGGCAAGACCACAGGCTCGTGAAATTCATTCAAATACAATATTTAGCATCACTAGTGTTAGCATTAAATGATGATTCAACAAAATGACTCTTATAACCCTACGTTTTACTAGACAAACTTAGACAGTAGAGAAGGTTTAATTATCAAACTAACAGAGTTGAACACTAATTTATTCTGTAAAATAATAATGCATTTACGTGTTTAGATCTATATACCACCTTAATGATGAAATGAAACATCATCAAACAAACAAAATCATCTCCACCGTTTACTCGTTCACAAATATTGAAAGGGCTTGTCGACAAATATTAAAGGACTAAAAGTGAATATTAGCCCACAAAGTCTCCACTCTTAACAATATATATATATATATATATATATTCACACGCACTCTTCAACTTTTAAGTCATTGTTGATGGCTTCTCTCAACAAACTACTTTTATAATCACTAGTCTATTGCACGGGCAAGATTATTTTGAACGTCATATTAGCGTTTTTAATGTTGATATGAGTTTAGTGTTTAAAGAAGAAGCGAATTAATTAATTATAAAAATAATCATTTGAGATAAGCTATTTGTGATATTAATTTTGAAATTGAATGACTCAATATAGTAATGACAAAAATAAACAGTTCAACTTTGTGCAAAGAAAAGTAGTAATTTCCACCATTAGAAAAAAATTGAAATAATTTTAAATCAAACAAATTTATATTGAAAAAATTTTGAATAGAAAAAAATTTCTCTTTTGAAGGAAAAAAAAAGCAGTAATTGAAAAAATTAAGTATAATCATAAAGAAAAAAGAATTTTAAAATTTTTTTATCTATAATACGAGTAAAAGAATTTAAAAAATATATTAATAAGTAATTTCCATCAGTAGAAAAATTGAAATAATTTTACATTGAACAAATTTTAAATGGAAAAAAATTTGTCCTTTGAATGAGAGAAAATCAGTAATTAAAAAAAATGGAGATATTCTTTCCGTCCACAGAGAATATTTTTTCCTTATTTTTTAATTAAATTTTTTCATTCATATTATAAATTTTTTTATTTTGGATTTAAAATTATTTTTAATTCTTTTCTCTTTATGATAAAATTTATTTTTTTCAAATTTAATTAAATAATATTAATATATTCGTTATTTCATTTTTGTTGTTTAATTTTTTTTAATTACATAATATTTTTTTAAGTTTGTTTTGTTTATATTATAATTTTTTTTAATTATTTTCACTTTATAGGCTGGACACATTTTCTTTCCTTAAAGGAACTACAAATGTGTGATATATGCTTCTTTGAACTAACAAATTAACAATCTCTTTAAAAATGCAAACAGCAATAGAGCTATAAACACTACTAACTGAACCAAAAAGATTTCAAACATATCCAAAGCAAACTCTTGTAAGCCTCAGTATATATAAAAAACAATAATCGAAAAATTTAAATTTCTCAAGTAGATAAGGGTAAAGAAAGAAATGCCTATCTAACTTTTACACACTAAACAAAAAAAAAAACATATATTACATTAAATAGAGCCAAAGAAAATAAGAAATAAATCCACAAGAAAGCAAACATCCAACAAAAACATAAATTTCATAGCCATATCCAAGAAAAAAA